CATTTCGACTAGTCAGAATGTAATTAGAGATATCTCAAATAGTTATTTTGTCTAGTTAAAATATAATTGGAGATATCTTAAATCCTTAAAACGTCTAGTCATAAAACAAATTGAGATATCTGGAATGTAAGGGCGGTAAAACCGAATTTATGTTAAAATGGCTTGCCATAGATCGTTTGCATTTCACACTGGAGAACACATACAAGTCGCATATTTGTGTGAACGACCACACACACACAAAATAAAAAATCAGAATTGAACTTTAAGGCCTGCAGTGTGAGCGTATCCTTAGTTGATAGCTTAGTTGAACTTAGCTTAGCTCACTGTCTGCCTACATCTCCCAGAATGCTGCACGGTTCTAAATCATAGTTTAGTGAATATTTTGAATGTTCTGACATATGTTAATAATTAACCCGTGCCTATGGCAATATATATTTATTTACTGTTCAGCCTCAGTTGATGCTCTTCTACTTCAGACATGCTAGCTACTTCCCATCTCCAAGAAACAAACAAAACATTCTGCAAACACAACCACCTCAGTTAAATCTGCTGTAATGGGAGAGGCATGGAGCTTAGCAATAGTTTAATGGAGCATGTAGAACAACGAGCCAACCATCGCTGCTTAATGTTGCAACCAATCAGAAGGTTTAAAGTCAACAAAATGTTAAACACACTGATAACCCTTGTGTTTACAAATTGGGTCCAACTGACTCCACACCCGTATCACTTGTATAACTTTCCTTAGTCCTCGTACGTTTACCTCAGTCCTCCCACGCACAAGGGTTAAGCCTCATTTCTTTATTCATATTCCCATTGTGTCTTCAGGTCGTTCAAGAGTTGGCTGTGTGAGATGCCAGCAAAGCCACTCTCTCCAGCTGGCTGTCAAGGTCCTCTATGGTTTTGTTGCTTTCCTCATCATAACTGTTGCAGTTCTGGCATCACTGGGTGAGCTCTGGTTTACTTTTATTTACCCCTGATTCTCTCTTTGCACAACGAATTGCATGCAAAAACATAAGAAAATATTTAATTTAAGGTTGACTTGGATTATGTATCCCTGAATTATTCTAGATCTACAACAGTGTATTTGGGCCACTGTAGACTGGGGGAAAAAGTGGAGTAAATTGTTATTTTTTTAGATTGTTGTTCGTAAGTTAAGAGCATACACCAGTTGACAAGCCACAAATATCTGATAGTAATCTATAAAGTCAGATAAACTTGCAACAGCAGCAGCTTTGGAGAGTGTTCGTAAATATGTTTATTTCCTTACTTATACGGATAAACAGATTATTTTAATGAAATTTACTCTTGATTTCACACAAATAAATAAAATTCTAATAAACTGTAGATGTATTTTTTAATTAAAAAGATCAACTGTCGCATTTTGTTTTTACCTGATTATTTTTCAAATATGCTGGCGTACTGAGAGTAGGAGATGTTATGTTGCTTGCAAGTAAATAATTTTTTTTATTATAAAGAAGACATTGAAGATGGAACAGTTAATTTCATGAAAGATTTTAGCACTTTACAGTGGAAATAAACTAATAAATATTCAAAAATGAAACAAAACTTACATACAAACACTATGTGTCTCTTCCTCTGAGTATCTGCATAAGAAAATAACACTATGTTATTGAATAAATTAAAATATGTCATCTTGAGGTCTAATACAACTGACAGTTGATAAATGACAGGAGCTGAACATGTGGGACCATTTATCCATATTCCCTCTGGGTCAGAGCTTAAATGGGCAGAATAGCATGAAAACACACACCACACATCATTGCATTCTCCCTAATGTAAACTCACACACACAAAACGCTCACACTCCCTAAACTGTTAGCTCTCTCCTGGGAAATATGTGAGGGGCCAAGACCTGGCCAGCTAGTAAAACAATAACTTCTCCATGTTTTGTAAATTAATGAAAACTTGATGTGTTTTGGGTTGATTTACAACCTTCTCTGTGCTTTTTCAAATATTTCCCTTTTCCTGTTTACACTGAAGGTCAGTTGGTTTTTCGTACATGTTTTTGTCTAACTCGTCTGATTCTCTCTTGTAAGGATGCAAAATAAATGCGTGAATATGTACATACTTTTGTGACATTCGTTAATTTAAAACAATATTTGTGTCTTTAGTGTTTAAAAAGGTGGACAATTTGTCTGAAGAGGAATCAGCGCACAACAAGAAGATTGCAAAAGTTCAAGAAGGAATAGAGGGTAAACTAAAATATTTTGGAAATAGTTGTTTGTAAACTTTATAAAGAATAAAAAATGTTTTGTATATCCCATAATATATCCCACCTTTAAAACTATAATGCTCTTTTTTACTGAGTTATTGTTTAAACATTTACCGTCCAACCCATAGGGTCTTTCTAAAGTCTGTAATGTTCTCTTAGCGATTGCTGTTATTGATTTTCTCTCTTGCCTCCTTTCTTATCTCAGATCTGCGGTCTGTGTCGAACAGTTCAGACTGCCTGGACGTCTCATTCTACAGTGAAGAGATCAACAGGCTAAAGAGAGAATTTGAAGAGATTCAGAAGATGATACTGGGTCAAGAGCAGGTATGATCAATCTCAAGCTAAATCCACAGTGAGAAAGGTTTTCCATTTTGTCTAAACTGCATTTAAAACCAAAAGATACACTATGAAATATATAAAACAGGATTGTGCTAAACTCCTATTTATTCTGAGTGTAATGAATCTCTCTTTGATTTCTGAACTATCCAGTTTCTGGATCAGGCGTCCCAAACCCAAACCACCATAAAAGCAACAAGCAACCAGCTAACATGGGAAGTCCAAAACCACCTCATGTCGCTCAAACTCCTCAACCAATCTCTGGAGAGATTCACCAATCAGGTGCAGGGTTGGAAGGAGGTGATTGATGAAACGGAAGAAAAGATGAAAACTATAACGGAGGATCAGTACGACGTAAAAGCAACAGCGCAACAAGTCAACACAACAGTAGCACTAAGGTGAATGAACAGAAGAGATACTGCATATTAATCAACATTTACTTGTAAATACATGAGTTTAAACCCAAATCCCATTTCATTTTTTGTGAATATTTGGAAGTGCAGTTCCCAAATATGCGACTTGTATGTGATCTCAGTGTGAACTGGAAACGGCCTGAAAGTTTCCCGCATGCGCAGTAGAGGGCGCTATAACGTCACGCATAGAGAGCGTGCTCGTGTTTTGCCCGGAGCCATGAGACCTATTTATGTCTATGGTTTTGCCAACCGCCATAAAAAAAGAAGAAGAAGTGCTCAGTGTTTGCGGAAGTAAACATGGATGCTAACGGTGGAGCATAGCTTAAGATTTTGAAGTTGTTGTCCGACCGGAGCAGCACATTAACAACTTAGTCCTCGTTGTAGTCCGCCATTGTTGTTTTTCTTCCCGCTTGTCCGTATCAGGACGCAGAATGCTGACGTTTGTCGAGTATCAATGACGTGCAGGTTGGCTGGGCTAAATCATAGACATGAATACAGATCGCATTCATGTCTATGGGCTGAACGCGATATTAAGACAAAAAAAAAACGGATTTGGGTCACTTCAGGTCTGAACATAGTCTAATTTCCATTTTTAGTCCTATTGGCACATTGATGTGTATGATGTTTATTAATAATAAGAAAAAGCCTCTTTGGACTATTGCACACAAAAAAACTTCGTAAAGGAGAAACAGGTAATTTGCTCTATAATGACTCAATAATTTTCACTTTAAGTTAATAAGTTGAATAAAGTTAGAATAACAGCGCTAAAAATAGAGTGGCTAAGCTGTGCTAACCTAAAAAGGCTAATCGTGTAATTAGAAAAGCTAGCCTGTGTCCTCCTAACCACTGTAACAAAATAATCTGCTGCATAGTTCTTGCATGCTAAACAGATATGTGGGTAAATAAATATTTTGTTATTCAAGTTTTGTTTATTATAATCTAAGACTACAGTGTGTTTAAGATGAAATTGCAGTTTTAGGGCCCAATTAGAAAGTAAAGTTAAATGTTCCACAATGCTCTCCTCTCTCCGTTGATCAGCACAATGTGGATCGATGCCCTCCAAAAAAAAGCAGATGAAGAGACTGCTGTCCTACAGACGTTGATGAGTAATTTGCAGAACTACAGTCGAGTTCTCAGCGCTATCAAATCCAACACCAGCAACACCTCCCAAAAAATGCGCTCGCTTCAGAGCACCATCATAATAGATCAGCAGAAAATGGCCATGTTCTCGGATGTGATCCACGACCTCACACAACAGGTAAGATTCAAAGTCGATCGATTTGATTAAAATATTTTTGTTTGGAGGAAAAGGTAATTTTTTAAATTCAAATTATTTTACCTTTTTGCCGTTTACACTAAAACAGCACATTTTCAAGGTTAAAATAATACTTTTTGGTACCTTAATGGAGCATTATAATGTCATTCCCTCATCGAAAACATACCTGGGGTGTTGTCTTGATTCTTTCATGCATGTTTGAGAAATCTTTTAATCTCCCACGGCAGACATTCAGCCTGGGTGCTGCAGTTTCCAAGCTCAGAACTCCCCCACTGAGCTCCTTCAGACTAGCCAGCAACAATTAGCAAACACCTGGTGGAACTGCTCACCTGCTGAGCTCATTTTAAGAGCTACTTCTTAGTGCAACGCTGGTAAAAACATTGTTGAAGGGTCAGTAGTGGAGTGAGGCAGAGTCTCAAAAGGAACAAGAATTTTTAAAGAGACAAGAGGCCCAATTAGAAAGTAAATTTTATTTTAAGACATATTTGATGTATATAGTATTTTTATAACAACTGAAGTTAGTATGATTACTTGATTATGCTGGAAAACTGCACTGGAAAACACTTAATATTTCCCTTTACGAGTTTAATATTTAAAAAAAATCTGGTGTCTGCTTCCTTAAATTCACCTGGAAACCAACACAAAGCAGCTACATTTTCAAATGAACCACCAGTCATTTTTAAATCACCAATCAAGCTGCACAGATGTTTTCTTTTCTTTGCTCCATGACTCTAAGTCAGTGTTTTATTTATATTTATCACAATTTAGGCATATCATGTTACAACATAGCAGTTTCACATTTTTGTGTGCAGACTGTCTATCATCACCACATGTTACCACTGACTCATGAAACTGGCATACCTTGGTAAAGGTCAACCATTGCTGCATTTCCCTGGTGGGTCAGCAGCTTCATGCTGACTTAATTTACCCTTGGCGCCTTGATTGTTTTAGAAACCAAACAGAAAGACGAAGAAGCCATTTTGTAAAAGAGGCTAGTTAAAGTTAAAGGTGGAGCAGTAGTGTTTTTTTTTCTTAATTGATACCATTCCAGGTTGTAAACCTGTTTGATTCATTCCTGCAGGTTATGAACCTCCAGATGCAGCTCGACAACGTGACGTCGCTAATGGATGAAAACGAGGAGAACATGCACGATCTTCAGTATCACTCCAGGTGACATAAATAAACATTTTATTCCTTCAGAGATCTCCTTTTTATTAACTGCATTGTCAGAATCTTGCAACCATTCTTTAGTATTTATCATAGATTAAACATAAGTATCACTTTATAATAAGGCTGAGGTTATTAATTCATCTGTAAGCACTTTATAAATCATTAATAACTTCTTATTATGCAATAATTAAGGGTGTGAAAGAGACAGAATCTTTTCTTGCCAAATAGTGAGCTACATCTCTTCACCCACATATTTTATCTAAAGTTGTTGTATTAAACATTTCAGACTAACTTGTAGCCAAAATAAGCATTTCTAAATTGCATAATGAACAGTTATTAATGATTTATAAAGTGTTTATAGAGCAGCGGATAAAATATCTATAAACTATTTATTAGCCATCTGTAAAGGGAGCCTTATTGTAAAGTGTTTTTCCCCCCCAAATTAATATTTTCTAATCGTATATGTTCACAGATTGGTAAGAAATACTTTGATCAACTCAGACTAAATGTAAACTGTTTATTTTAGGTACTACGAGAACCGGACAGGTGAGCGTTTCTCAGCTCTAGATGGCCGTCTGAACTCCATCGAGATGGAGATCGAAACCATCGCCTCAAGCATCAACGCCACGGTCAGCCACGTCCAGAGCATGTACAAGTACATCAACGTGGAGAGCTCCTCCTGCAAGAGTCGCCTGGGCAGACACACCGAAGACCTACAGGTGCTAAAAATGGCAAAAATACGTCAGGAATTTTACTAAAATAGATATAAACACATAAGATCTCTGATTTCATTATCATAATTATCAAAATCATTTAATCTTTTTTTGGATTCTAAGTTGTTTTTGACTTATTATAATTTACTTGCTTAGAAAATTAATGGCAGCAATGTCTCCATCCATAAAACCTGGAGTAAGTGTCAAAAATAGCTGTAAACAACACAAAGAAAAATATTTTCCTTCTGAAGGAAAGAAAGAAATGCACAAATTATCTGCAATAATAATAATAATAATAATAATAAAAAACTGCTTTCTAAGAGGATGGAAAACATTGATTATTTAACTGGATTTATTCCGTTGTCAATGACTAAATGCAAGAAAAACCCAAAGCGAAACGTAGAAGCCGTGGGAAAGGTGGGAAAAAACCCTGAAAAATGAAAGAGAACACAAAATGTGTGTTTAAATACACAGAATCAGTGAGCTTGGAATATTTACTGTGGGGATAAAAAGTGAAGTTAATTGCAGCAATAGCTCCATCAGTTTGTATCCTTTTCCAGTTGTCCCTGTATTATAGTATTGCTCTATGTTGTGTTCTCTTCGTTATGCAGAACATGAACACCACCGTTTTCTTACTGCTCAACTTGGCCAGCACTCTGAAGCAGCAGAACCTGCTGCTGAATGTTCGTCTAGACATGGATGTGAGGAATCTGTCGATGGTGATGGAGGAGATGAAGCTGGTTGATGTTTTCCACTCCAACCTCATAAATAATTTCACTATTCTTAAAGGTATGTCAGGAAAATCAGAACTACGGAGGAAGATTAGGGCCACTTAAAAAAAACGAGTTGAGATTTTTGATCTCAGAAGATTAAAGTCAGAAAAATGTCTGGGGAAAAAAGTCATGATTCTGAGATGAAAGCCAGAGCGGTTCTGGTTTTCTTAGATTATGCTTTTTTTTAAAAATCTCACTTTCTTTTTTAGAATTCAGATTTTTTTTTTCTCAGAATTTTGACTTTTCACTTGAGACGATTTATGTCAGAATTTTGAGATCAAAGTCAAAGTTTTTTTTAAATTTTTATCTCAGAATTCTGAGATTAAAGTCAGATTTTTTTAAACCAGAATGTTGAGATTAAAAACAAAATACTGAGAGAAAAGCCAAAATTCTGACAATAAAAAAGGGTTTTTTTAAAGTCAAAATTCCAAGAAAAAGACAGAATTTGCGGATTAAAATAAAAATTGAGATTAAAGCCAGATTTTTTTTTAAAAAGTCAGAATTCTGTTATTAAAGTCAAAAATTTGAGAAAAATGTCAAAATTCTGAGAAAAAAGTCTGAATTCTGAGATTAAAGTCAGAATTTCGATATTAAAACCAACATTTTAATTCCAGAATTAAAATCAGAATTCTGGAAAAAAAAAGTCTAAAATCTGTGGAAAATGAAAATCAAATTTCTGAATTTTTTTTTTTTTAATTCTGAATTCTCTTTAGTTTCCAGTGTCCCTAATCCTTTTCTGAACCAGAACATTGTGGCTCCACTTTAATTCTCAAATTAACATCCTGATGTTTTCTTTTCAGGCATCCCTGGGCCACCTGGGCCCAAAGGAAACCGTGGTGAGACTGGCCCAAAAGGACCCATGGGCCTTACTGGCAGTAAAGGTGACAGAGGCCCAATAGGAGGCCGTGGAACCATTGGCGTGAAGGGTGCGCTTGGTGTTAGAGGATCACCAGGAGAACCGGGCCCTATTGGCAGCAGAGGGCCCCCAGGTTTAAAAGGAGCCAAGGGGTCAATCGGTCTTCCAGGCCCCAAAGCGGAAAGGGGCCAGAAAGGGGAATCGGGGCCCTCTGGTTCTGATGGCATCCCTGGGGTTGAAGGACCTCCAGGAATCCAGGGCCATGTAGGACTACCAGGTATCACCGGACCTCCAGGACCGAGAGGAAAACCTGGGCCAACAGGGCCACCTGGACCACCAGGTACACCTGGACCTCCTGGCTTACCGTACAGGCATGAGCCTCAGCAACAAACCGTGACGCCTGCTGCTGGCTCCAAGAGACAGTGACTCTGAGTAAAGCGTCTGAGTGCCATGTTTTCATATGGAGAAGCTGAGGAATGACCATCCTGGAACTAAAATACTGATTTTAATTGAAGACACACAAGAATTCATTCATTGGATTGTGCAAAGCCATGAAGACTAAAAAAAATGCAACACACCGGCTTCACGATGGAATTTGACAAAATGTGGTGATGAATGGAATAAGGAAGACCAAAGCAGCCTTCTATGGACTCAACTATTGAGTGAAATTTTATCTTTTTCGATTTGTAGCTTGAGTTTTTCATATGGCACATGTGTATCAACCAGATTAACTAAAAATGATAATCTTAATAGGTTTTTATTTCAGAATGTACCAGAATAAAAGGTTGTGACATAGAGGTTTGTTAAGTCAAAAAAACATTTAAAAGTAGGATGGCAACCACAAATTTGGAAATAATCAAAGTGTCTACTTATTTACTATACACAGAAAGATGTCCAATTTGAAGCACTTTATTATCTCTAAAACGTGAAACCTAAAGAGATTTCAGAGCGGGAACTCTGAAAACATTTTTATTAACTTGCTGGTTTGTAAAGAAAATGAAGAAATCACATTATTCAATTTGTTTTCTTTTTTTTAAGATGTATTTTTGATATATTACAGCTTGTGAGGTGACACTGACTAACAATAAATAAATAATCGGGTTTCTCATGGAAACAACATGTTATGTGATGCATTTCATGTGCCAACTGAAATTTTCCCACAAGTACAAGAAAGTTTTAGGTGTTCACAGGAATGTACCACGTTTTGATCCGATATCTTCTCGTTGTGAATTTGTTTAATGGCTGCACAATGACATCAGACTTCCAGAAAACATTAGACAATTGGTAATGTGATCTAAAATGTCAAACATAACAAGGTAAACAGCAAGAGTTCGAGTTGGACACCACTGAATAATGCGGTTTTTCCGCGTAAACCGTGAACAAAGAAATGGCAGTGATGAGTAGTGGTATATTGAGGAAACGGCTGATTTTATTTTAGATTGATCGGAGCGCTGCAAGGTAAAGACACGTCATCTTCACTACCGCCTAGTAAGCGCTCCCCCCTACAAACGTAACTTTTATGACAAGTTCCTCTGTTGGGGATCAGTTGAAAGGTCTGTGGATTGTTAAATTAAAGGAAAATACGTAAACAAAGACGTAACGAGAACAGCTTAGCTAGCTCCGCCATCTTGCTCCAGTGACGTGTGGCTTAATAAGTAAAAATAAGAAAATAAATTTTTCCACTTGAATTTTCCATAAAATGCTTTTCTTATTTTCTTATTCAACATTTTTGGGGTCAAAATATAGCTGAATTTACGCATTGCCTGTTGAAATACATGAAAAAAAGACCCGGATGAGGCAATGCAGTGCTGTGCCTCACCTCTGGGGGCAGTGCTGAGTTCCATGGACAACGAGCAAACTGCTCTTTTTCTACGCATCGAAAAGACTGAAAACAGTCGTAGAAATAAAATACAGAAGGAGCAGAACCGTCGAAGGCCGCTCTCTGGCTGCCAGATTTTTGAAAATTAAAGAAAAATGAGGAAAAAGGACGTTTTTTTTTTATATATTTGTGGAGAAGGATAGAGGCATGGACGTCATATTACATACAGGTAAGATCACACACAATTTTCAATTTAAATTAGAAACGAGAGGTCAGCCAAACAAAACATTAAAATAACTAAATATTATTTTATCTTTCTTGCTATCGTATTGTTGGAATATTTAATTAGTTATGGCCAAAGTTAAAATATAGCTTCTGTTTTGGATTTTGTCTGTCATGAACCTCACCGTACGTCACCGGCCAGCTCTTAACAAGGCACTGAGGTTTGAAGGCACCAAAACAGTTAGAGATAGTTGTTTTGGTATAAAAAGCTTAATAGTGTGTACTCCAACCCATATGATGATTCTTTTTCAAAAGGTGACTAAATCTAGCTACTTCCTTTGCCATTATTGACCATTTACAACTACGTCACTCTCCATTGATGGACGTCAGAAGTGAGGGACGGGAGCAGATAAAACATTGTTACATCTAACATAACAGCAGTGTTACTATCGGATATCAACATCAGTCCAGTTTTTTTATATTTGAGATTTCCTAACAATTACTTTTCTGTAGTTCATAAAATGAACCTGTAACAATAATAGCTCATTTTCTAAGTTAACTGAAGAGAAGTTATACAAAAGTCTGAAATTATGTTCAATTTAACAATAAAGAGGCAAGCTCAAAAATATGCTTATAAAAATGTCTATAGTCCAGCTTTTCGTTTATGTATTCACAAACAAATAAACTCACCTGGACCAGCCACTTATAGCTTTTGTGTTCCTGTTAGCTACGGGATTTGATCGCCACACACAGAAACATCTACCAGCTGCCTGCCGCCATGATGCACTCCACCACCCATTTGTTGAGACCAGGATGATACCACATTAATTTTCTGGCTCATCTGTGAAGCTACACATCTAAAGCACAGCCGCCTGCAGTGTTCAGTCTATCCGCTCACCTGTATAAATACACCTGCAGCGCTCGTCCCCACCGTTCACGCTGAACGCCGGACACCAGGCAGCAGCTATGCTCCAGACATCACGCCAGTTATTTTAAGGATGCTTATTGGTCCCCCGAAAAACGATAAAAACCTGGACATCATCATTCAATAAAATCCTCCCAGACCCAACTTGAAAACTGGATGCTATGCTGCTAACGCTTAGCTTTCGTCAACAACTCAAGCAGAAGTGAGAGCGCTGCGCAACAGAAATAATAAACCGACCGGAACACAGTACGGAAAAATAATCAAAATTAATTAACGAAGCTTCGAGGCAGATAGATTTTCTCGAGGAATTTTAATAATTTAGGTACTCTAATCATTCAAGGAATTGTTTCAGCCCTAATCTGAACTTTAATCTTGTTTGCTGCAAATCTGCAGTTACACTGAGGGCTGCCAGTCATGATTAGCGGCTGCTATCCATCGCAGCCATATCTTTCCTCATTAAAAGTTATACAAAAAAATGACAAGTTTGGTTTGCATCCTGTCTGTTTGTGCAGCCAACCGCGCAGCACCCTATAACCATTTTTAAAGTAAAATTAACTAAATAAAAGCGATTTTAGGTTACTGGCTGCCTGTTTTTTGATAGGCTTTAAAGAAGTTCATTGGTTGGTTTGACGCTTGTCATGGCAGAGCAGCCGATTTCTGAAGAGCATGATGTCACGTGCAAAGGGTCAATCTGAAGTTTGGAAACGTATGTATTGCTCTTAATCTTCTCAACAATTACCACATCCTACCATAACGCTCCACCTCCCAAAAAAAAAAAAAACACTCACCAGAAGCCTGGTCCTCTTACAGCTATCCCTCCCAGCTCCACTGCGTAACGTCGCTGTTGGTTGATCACATTTTGGAAATAAAATAAATGAAAGAACTTCACAAATTTCCAAAAACATGAAACATAAAAAGACAAATGTGCCACGAACCTGTATATCTGTAACTATGTGATGTAACAAACATCTAAGTATCAATTATGGTTAATGTGTGACAGTAAAATATCTGTGTTGTTTATTCATTTATATCTTAAAAAAATGTTTTAAAATTGTAATATATTGTTGTGATGAAATGCGACTGGTTTGCATTGAACTTCAATAAAAAGTTTTTTTTTCAGCATGACTTGAAAGCATGTAGCGCTCGTGGGAGGGGGTGAATTTGTTAATAATCAAAAGCACATGCCACCTCTTCCCGTTAGGCTCTGGCTATATTTAGCTTGTTGTTATAACTTACTGCATGCAGTCAAAAATGTGGCCCATGATTTACTTTAAGTTCACGGTACTGCATTGCTTTTGCATGCAAAATATCATCTGGTTTATGTTCCAGTAAAACAAATGATCTAAACTTGGTAGGATCTGTGAATGCTTGCATTAAGACAGACTTTAAAACAGATGTGGAAGAAAACAAACGGATGCCTTGTTTGCAGAAGACTTTCCCTATTCCCCCTTGAATTGTAACTTTTAGGTATTTCCCTCTTTTTCTCTGTATTGCAACATGACAATCCATGTAGAGTAAGAAATCTGAACCAAAACAAAAATGTTTCCTTTTTTTTTCTGAAGTTGTGAGACTTTTCTCTGCTTGAATCACTTGTTCTGAATCCCTTTCTGTTTTTACAAGAGGCAGAAATAAACTAAAAATATTGTGGCTTTAGATTTATTAGCCACAATAAATCTAAATTAACTAAATAAAAGCGATTTACACTTTTATTCACACCAAATATTCCTGAGATATTTGGTGTGAATATCTCAGGAAACTTCAAGTAAGTCAAACTAACTTACAAGAGTCTTTTTAGCAAACTATAGAGATTTGTTTTAAGTTGATAATTTCTTAATATTGATGAAAAAGTACTTTTTCTATTGGCAGATTATTTAACTTATAACAAGACATTTTTCCCATGTTATAAGTTAATTTATCTGCCAATACAACAAGTACTTTCTCATCAATATTAAGGAATTATTGACTCAAAACAAATCTCTATATATTGTCGAAAAGTTACTTCTAAGTTAGTTTGTCTTCTTTCAAGTGTAACAAGATATTTGCAGTAGAAAATTGACCAAAATTACTTGGTAAGATTTTGTTTTTGCACATTGTTTGCAAAACAGAGGAGCCATTTAATTATGGTTTTCCAGTCGTGACTCGTCATCGTTCTGACACGAGTAAACATAATAATTCACAGAGGAAAACAACTACAATGTATTATGTTAAAGCTCCTGAAACCTGGTTTTATTTTTATATGTGAACGAAAAGTACAACCTTGAGTTAAACGACAAAAAATCTCCAGCGAGTATTTAAAGTTGGAACGGTTCCTTCGGCCGAGCCAGCATAAGTCTTGCCATTAGGTGTGTTCGTTGGAACATCTGACAAGCCTGAATTTACTAAGAGGGATGCATGAAAACTTTTTTTATGTGTGCAGACTTTTTCCACTGACAAAAAATCATAATGTCCTGTTTTCCATTTGAAAGTAATTATTTAAGGGATGTAGCACCTCTGCCCGCTTGATCATGTGATTGCTCCCAGGCTGAGTGAACTTTGCAGCTAACATCTGATACGTTTTTGCTGCCGAAGTTGAAAACAGGATCGCTGCCTGTTTCCGAATCAGTTATGTAATGTCGTGTTTGCACTTGGATTCACTGAGATGTGATACTGTAATTGTCTGTTGCCAGTTCTAACCAAAAACGGTGCTGTCACATGTTTACAGAGGATTACATCAGAGAATAATTTGGATCTGACCACGAAGACGTTGGTTTAGACCAACGTTTCTCAAACCTTTTCAGGCCGAGGATCACTAAACCTGTTCAACAAACATTCACGGACCAGCTAATTTAAAATTGCCCCGCAATAAAACCACATCTTAATATAGACAGCCTGGAATTAAAATATTAGTCTCTTAACTTATTGTCTTTATTCTTCCTAATGTGAAGGATTAGGACGAACAACCGGCTCTATAATTGTTTTGATTCAGTTGAGCTTAGAGAGAAAAAAATATTGGCTTCAACTAAACCTGCAACTTGCAAGTTGGACCAAATCCTGTCCAAATTATTCAAAAAAAGCGTTTCTTTTGGTTATTGCCCCCATTTGAGATACGATTAATCTGACCCCAGTAAAAAACGTAGCTGTAATTACACCTAAGAAACCTTCTCTCCATCAAGATGATG